CCTTCACCTTCTCCTTACAATACAATGCCTCATGGATCTTTGTTTTGTGTTAATTGTGGTACCTATGATCATGATACATCTCAATGTGTTTGTTCTTGTGAAACTCAACCCCCTCCCCAAGAACATGATGATAATGTGGAAGATTTTAATGCTATGAACTTTGCCCCACGTATGGGGATTATAGGGAATATGAGGCCAAACCCCTATCAAATGGGGAATTGGAATCAGAATTGGAACTATGGTTTGAACCAAAGTGTTGGTGGCTATGATAACCAATACCATGGTGGGGGAGGCCCTTCCAATCCCAATGGAAGAGGCTACCCTAACCAAAGAGGTTATGGTAATCAAAACTAACAACACAACTCTCGATACTATGACCATCAAAATCAAAGTTTTAATTATCAAAGTATCATAGGAAGCAATCAACAAAGAAATGTTTCCAACCAAGGCACCGGAGGCAATAGGGCTCATTATGCTTCTCATTATGCCCAAAATAATAATCCTCTGGGTTTCCATCAACCCCAACTTCCCCCACCTTGACAACCCATTCAACTTCAGGCTCCACCAAATGATTCCATAATGGCTAAACTAGATGCTTTAATAAAAATACGTGAAGAGGGTCAAAAGTGAACCAATACTCACATGAAAATGCTTGAAACTCAAACTGTTCAACTTGTATCTAGTTCTTCTAATTCATCTTCTTCTTCTGCATCCCTTCCTAGTAAAGGAGTCAACCCGAAACCCATGTTTGTCGTGACAACTAGGAGTGGAAAAGTGGTGGGGAGTGACCCATTGGTTGACAAGAAGTCTCATGAGGAAGTTAAGTTAAGTAGTGATGATGAAACCCCCTTGGTGATTGAGCCTTTGAGTGGAGAAAAAGAGGTTGAGGATGTGAGGAAAAAGGATAAGAGGGCTGATGATTCCCTTGAGAAATAATCCTCAAAAGAAACAACAGCTTTACCCTTGAACAAGCAACCAAGAGAGGAGAAATTGCCCTACCCCTCAAGATTTGTGAGATCTAAGCTTGATGCTCAATTTGGAAAGTGCTTGGATGTCATTAATTATTTGCATGTTTCCCTTCCTTTTGTTGATGCTATGAAACAAATTCCCCACTACTCCAAATTTTTGAAATACCTTTTGTGTGGGAGAAGGGAGTTTGAAATAGTGAACCTAACCGCTAATTGTAGTGCCATTCTTTCCAACAAACTTCCCACCAAATTGAAAGATCCGAGTAGTTTCTCCATCCCTTGTTCCATTAATGGTGTTGAGTTTGAAAAAGCTTTGTGTGATTTAGGAGCGAGTGTAAGCCTCATGCCCTATTCTGTCTACCAAAAGCTTAGTGTAGGAACCCTCTCCCCCATAAATGTTACTCTCTAACTAGCGGACCGCTCTACTAAGTTTCCTGTGGGTAAGGTTGAGGACATTCCCCTTAGGGTAGGAAAGTTCACATTTTCCGTGGACTTTTATGTGCTAGAGATGGATGAGGATGATAGGATTCCTATAATTTTGGGTAGACCATTCCTAGCTACCTCTAGAGCAATCATTGATGTAAAGGAGGGGAAGATGACCCTAAAAATTAACAATAACTCCATTGAATTTAACTTGAACAATGTCATGCAATAACCCTCCTCAAGTGGTGAATGCTTTAAAATTGATGTGCTTGATACTGTGCTTAATGAATTTTCTCGCTCTTATATGCATGTTACAAATGATACTCTTGAGAATGCCTTGTTGAATGTGCCTAAGATAGGTCCACAAGAGGAAGTGCTAGCATATGAAGCAATGCTCAATGAGAAGGTTGAAGAATCAATTCTAGAAAGTAACACATCACCACTTGATCTCCATCATGTGAATGACAAGCAAGATGTTCTTCAAGGTAAGGAAGCACCAAAGGTGGAGTTGAAACCTCTACCTTAGGGCTTGAGGTACGCATTTCTTGACTCCAATAATGCTTTCCCCGTAATCATCAATTCCAATCTAATAGAAGAGCAAACCTCCCTCTTGATCAATTTCTTGAAGAAACACAAGAAGGCTTTGGATTATACCATTGATGACCTCAAGGGTATAAGTCCATCCTTATTCATGCATAAAATTGATCAAGAGGGAGATGCTAGACCGATTAGGCAAAGGCAAAGGAAACTCAATCCTTCCATGCAAGAGGTTATGCGAAAGGAAGTTTCTAAACTTCTTGATGCGGGAATTATTTATCCAATCACTCATAGTGATTGGGAATGTCCCGTGCAAGTTGTGCCAAAGAAGGGTGGCATGACGGTGGTAGCAGCGTGGATGGTGCGAAGGAAGGGGGCCAGCATGCGTGGCTCGCTAACAGTACGCATGCTGGCTGCGCTAGCAATGGGATGCGAGGGAGATGCTGCGAGAGAGATGCATGTGCGTGTGATAGGTAGTGCTAGGCAGCCAGCAGCAGAAAGTATAAGCTATTTATAGGAATGTTTTAAAAAAATAAGTCGACCAGTTGCACGCCTTCTCTAGCCTTTGTGCGCCCGCAACAATGCGGTTTAACAAACTGAAATCCAGTGGTGCGCAACTGCGCGCCTCACCTGCGCGCCCGTAACTTTCGGGATACGGAAAATAAAACCAGAAAGATGCACCCGCACAACATTCATGCGCGCATGCGCAGTTGATCTGCGCTCCTTCTTTGTAGCCGCGTAGCTCCCCGGACAAACTCCCTGCCTTGCCTCTATTTTTCTATTTGTTCCCTGTGTGCGGCCACACACAAGGCTGCGCGCCCGTGCAGTATGGACGTGCGTCCTCTCCTAGGTCGCGCAGAAGGCGCGCAAAACTTTCTGTATGTGCCTTTCTCCTTTCTTCTGAGTGCGCCTTCTCACAGGGCTACGCGCCTTTGTGTGCTATCTCCAAGGTCGCGTAACGCATATTTAGCCACAATCTTCTCCTTATCAAACACAATGGTTCCTACAAAACATGAAAGAGGACACCAAGGTTTTGTTAGTTTGACTTTGTTACTCGTCCTCTGGATCTTCATCGAGCTTGATTTTTTTCCCACTTGTCATTTTGGAAAGGTGCTCCTTCTCCAAAAAGGCAAAATCACGAGCAACAAACACTTTGTTCTTGGATTTGTTGTAGAAGTAATACCCCTTAGTTTCTTTTGTATATCCCGAAAAGAAACACTTTTCTGATTTAGGGTGAAGTTTGTCATAAATTAATTTATTGACATATGCTTTGCAACCCCAAATCTAAAGAAAAGACAACCTTGGAGGTTTCTTCGTCCGTAACTCATATGGAGTCTTTTCGACATTTTTTGACAGAGCTCGGTTCAGTGTTAGTGCCGCGGTTAGAAGTGCGTGTCCCTAGAAAGAGATAAGAAGATACCACTTTGTAACACCCTAGAAATTCCTTACCTTTAGAGTACCTATTTTACCCTTTTTAAAATACGAAATAGAAAAATCTAAGATATTACCGCCACCGTGAAAACAGCTAAGGCAATTATCAAAGACACACAACAGAAGACTTTCTTTAAAAACTATCCAAAACAAGTCAACTTAAAAGTCAAACCAATTAAGCGAAAGTGAAGTCAAACAAAATCATCTAATAGCTTGAAACCATTATAGGCCCTTAAAACCAAACAATGCTGAAAACCTTTATGTTAGTCTCATGAGCATGATAAAATAGATAATATTAAAAGCAAATAAACACATCATATTCCTATTGAAACTAAGCATGATTCGCACTTCACTCATGCCCATCATAAAAATGCTTCATCACTTTAAAAACTTTTCTCTACTTGTCCCCACTAGCTACTCGTCATTAGAAATGGGTCATCACAGGGCCAACGTAAAGACAAGGCCAAACAAATATACAATACACAATCAGCAATGCTGAGTACGTAAGCGTAATAAAACACACTATCATGCTTTCATCCTATCATCACACAATTTACCTTGTTGCACCTGCAAACAAGCATACAAGACATTCAACACTTAACTAGACAAATACCAATGTCCATTTAATTTGATTACGCATCGAACGAGTTTCCCCCTAACCTGCCCCAATAAAGGGGTACTAACACGGGAGCTAACCGTGTCAGTGTAAAAGAACCACTCGTAAGTGGCGGAATTCCTGCGCAAAATAAAAAAGGAATATACATTGTCCTATACTCCCAGTAGAAGTTATTGTCAAATATAAAGTCACATAACACCCCCCATATGTTCATACTCAAGGTATATACGTTCAAGCAATCAAACATACCAATTTAATTCTTTCACTTTACGTTGGTGCGTAATTTCTTTCACTTTACGTTGCTTTACATATTATTATACTTGGTGATGACTCTCAAACCATAACACAATCAAACATTATAATTCATTCAAGCAATCAAACATACCAATTTAATTCTTGAATAATTAGTGACCACATAAATTTAGTGTTGAATCCTTTTTAAACTACCTCGGTGTTAAATAACACCTTAAGCGCATAAAGCACCACAAATCCTTTCCCTCGCTATTTAGAACACCTTAAGTGGACTTAGGCACCAAAATATAACTTAATCCTCGTGTACATAGACACTTAAATAGCTTTTTTCTCATGCTTATAGCATCAATAAAAATTATGTGAAATATAACAAAATTTCCTTTTCATATTCCAAACCAAATTAAACATTTAGTTTAATTAAACATGCTCTCACTAGGCGAAAATACGAATTCCCCACCGGTTCAAACCCCCCATTTCGCACCGGTTTTGAACCGGATTGGATTTGGGGGGGTGCTAAAACCCCATAGATTTTGCACCGGTTCAAAAAGTGAGAACCGGTGCAAAAAACCTCACTTTTCGCACCGGTTCTTGATTTGAACCGGTGCGAAAAGTCCCAAAAAAATTTTAAAAAAACTTTTAGCATTCCAAAACCGGTGCTAAAAGTGCCCCAAAAAAATAATTTTTTTTTTTTTTTGCATTTTTTTTCACTTAAATTTATATATAAACACTAACATATATATAAAGTTACATATTTTCATTATAAAAGGCTGTAATATTACAATTTTCGTCAAAAAAATAAATAACATACAATGTTACATAAGTACAAACAACATTGACATGCAAAAGGCTCTCAGGCAGACTAATTAAGCTAGCATTAGAAGCATTCCGATCATAGCATTAGTCGAGTGCAGCGACCTTTACTCCTGAAAAAGCAAAATCACCATTAAAACTTTCATAAAAGTTTAAGCTGACCAAGAAGACAGATATATTGCTTGTACTTGAGCATCAGACCTAGCGGATCAGGTCATATATTGGCACCCTTCCCCTACCTGCAAACCGCGTAACTGTATATACATGTTGAGCAAATTATCGGTTGAAAACAATAGTATTAGTTCAACATCACAAGGCATAGAAGTCAGTTGATGGCTCTGAAACAGCACTCGTGCAAACAATTGACTGTTGGTTTCAGAAATTTAGAACTGAACCTTCAATGCTTTTCTAATATTAAGAGTGGAAACAGGCTAGGTAAGGAGGGGCATCATCTTATTAAACTAGCTGAACAACGCAGGATAGAAAACTGAAGAGAAAACAGACATCTCTAAGTTTTAATCAGAAATAAATAATGTAGTTGATAATGTAATAAACCTCAAGGGAAAGTTGGCTCACCAATTTTTTAACTGTAAAGATGTGATTTCTGAACCCTGCAAGGACCAAAGATACGAATCACATATATAAACCATCTATCAAAGCATAATAACATCAAATATTTATTAACAACAACATTGATTAAATTCTCTTACATGTGAACTTAATCTGTTAGCCCATAATTGTAAAGAAGCTATGTACTTATGGATATCAGGTTCATCCTGCAGCACCCTTTCAATTAAAGATATTTGTATATCGTTCATTATATTTCTCTTACGTTTACTTACTTGCCTTTCTTCTCCATGTACACTTTCAACTGTTTCATCTTGTTGAACACCTCCAACCACACTTCTATGGAAATGCTCATTTGGCGTAGTATTTTCAACATCACCAACTTTATCATTGGGGTTCTGTCCTCTTGTAGTAATTTTCTCTGATCCACTTGTCTCTTCATTATGAATCTCCTTATTAGTCTCAGCTCGACTATACACTCAGCTAAATCTTTGATAGATTTACCTTTACCCGTCTTCTGATCATGCTTTGCACCATCAGCTTCAGCAATAGCCTCAACGTTGATAATGCAAGAACTGTCCACTCCTGGAAAAGCTGAATTACCTTCTCTCATGTTAGAGTGTCTGGTCTTATGATCAAAATCAACATTTCCTCGAAGAGAAGCTGTATAGCCTCTCGAATATTGAAGTTCCTAACAACAATTTATAACAGCTGTCAAGAATTATGCAGCCAAAGATAGGTAGGTCAAGTTTGCAAACAGTTCCATTTCATGTCAAAGATACACATTTACCAGTTCTCTATTGACTTCATAATCAACCAGGCCAATAAGTAATCTAGAGCACAGCACAATAGAAAAGTCTCCACGACTAAGAGTCTAGTACAAGTGCAACTAAGCATTTGAAGTTTTATGTTTGTGGTGTAATTATGATGCTGACCTTATTTGATAAAAGTTGAGAAAGCCTATTAATCCTCTCCTTGATATCTGATTTGGTAAGCTTAGTATCACGTTGTGGGGAAGCATTGATCTTGCGGAGGTTTACATCCTTCAAATTAAATGCTTACTCAGACCTAGATAGGTAAAATTAAAATAAGAATAACTGCAAATCTTTACTGCATTATATCAAGAAAGCCACGAAACATTATTTAAAAAAAAAACCATATTTCAGTCATAATATTTGAGATCATAGTATCATACCTAACGACATAATGCTCAGTTGAAGTTGACGAAGAACCATATCTCCTATATGTTTTATTTCCTATTCTCCTGAGAATAAAAAATGTGAAAAAGATTTACTATCTCGTTACAGCTAACAGAATTCAAGGGTTTCAACGATCACCCTACATAAGAGAAGAATCGTACAAATGCAAAAATAAAAAACCAATCTCCCTTGTACTCCAGTCATAGTTGAGTAATTACAAATTCAGATGGACAAAAAGTAATAACGACTTAAGTTTTCAAAGACCAATCAGACCAACCAACTACTGAAAATATTCCTATTAGCAAGTCGAAGCAATACCAAACCAAAAGTTTTAACAATCGGAAAACCATGACAGTAATCATCCATGAATGCACAACAACTCGAAATCAACCTTGAATTCCATTAACAATTATGAAACCATAACATTTTTAGCATAACAATCGAAATAAGCCTCATAAGGCTACACAAATGCAACGACAAAAACTTAATCATCAACAAAATTCAATCAAATTCCGTTTCACCTTCTTCAAAAAGGGTTTACTAGCACATACCAACAACAACAATAACAACAACACAAATTGTTCAATTTAAACAAATGCAATGTGTTTAAGGTGGTAGCTACAATTTTACCTGGGTGAGCTGATTCTGTGGCTTTACCAACAGGCGATTCCTTCTGCAATACCACATGAAATTAAATCATTACTTCGAATTATGAACCCTAAAATTAGAATTTCATAAAATTAATTAATCAATCCAACAAGGGTGTTCCAATAATAATGTGATATTATCATATTATATTCAATCCATGCTTCATTTTTCATCAAATCTTTCACTACAACAAGCAACATATCATCAAAGCACTAATATTAATTTACCCATACTATTTAAAATAAAAAGCACCCAATGAAATTATATGCAAATTAAACAAAAAATTAAAATTTTAAACGATTTGAGCTAATTAAAAAAAAAAGGAAAGAAAGAGAGATAGAATGAATCTTGGTAGTGTAGACTTTGTCGCCATTATCGTTGATGTAGAATTGCAAATACATTTTTGATAATTTGTTTAACCTACCCAATGAAAAAAAAAATCAAACCACACAAACAAAATATCAGGAATTAGATAAATTAAAAAAACTGAAATTAATGTTGAATAAAAAAAAAAAGCTGCGATTTAGAAGAAGAGAAGAAAACTCACTGACGAAGTGGTTTTGACGACTGTACTGTTTGTCCACCCGAAACCCCCACCCCTTTCCCTAACTCTAAACCGCCGTAGACTCGAAACCCCTACCCCTGAAACCATTCCCTTACCCCCGGAATTTGTGAATTTGTGTTTTTCCTATAAAATAAAATAAATAAACTACAATTCACAAATAAGCAACCAAAATTGACTCAATCATCAAACTAGACTCCAAAAATTACGTTAAATTCTTCGACTTTCTATAACCAATAGTTCAATTATCCAACTTCGAATAACCCTAAATTGAGTATATACTAACAATTAAATACACGATTAACACTAGATTGTCAAATTAATATTAGATGATTAAAGAAAAAGAAGCATCTAACCTTAGAGACTGCTTCAATGGAGGAGAGAAAGCTCAGAAGCCCCTTCAATGGAGAATTTCGAGTACGCTTAAATGGAGGAAAGAGAGGGGAAGGAGTACATCGAGAAACGCTTAAATGGAGGACGGAGAGAGGAAGGAGTACAGGGAGAAAGATATGAAGGAGTACAGAGAGAGGAAGGAGTACAAAGAGATTCGTTTTAATGGAGGAGAGGGTGAGGAGAGAGAGGTAGCTAATACGAGAGAGGAGGAAAGATCGAGGAATTGAAAGAGAAAGAAAGAAGAATATAAGTGGTTTTTTTTTAATAACAGTTTTCCCACCGGTTTGAAATGAACCGGTCCGAATTACTCACTTATCCCACCGGTTTTGGTAGTACCGGTGCGAAAAACATACTTTTCTCACCGGTTTGGTTAGAACCGGTGTGAAAAGTCTTTTTTCCAATCCCGCCCATTTCTTTTCCCACCGATTTTCAAGAACCGGTGCGAAAAGTGCGGTGCCTATTTTATTTTTTCTACTAGTGTCTCAATCATGCCAATAATAAAAGTGTAGTTCATATTCAACATGATAATATAATTAATTCCAATCATTAATCCATCATATATAATTCATACATCACAAATCAATCACCAACATCAATCCAAACAACAAATTCCAACCAACACCTATCATGATACTACTTGGAATTAATTAAACAAACCTAGCATGCTTCTATATATTCAAATAATTACCATGTATGTGAACGTACCTTGAATATGATCTCAAAATCGCCATGACTAAATAAAATCACTCACTTGGAAACTTCCTACAAACCAAAATTACAAAGAGGCTTTATTACCTATACCACACAAATTTTCCAGCGATATATACACTGTTTAAATCACTCATAAACCCTCTAAAAAAAGCTAAAATTTTAATTTAAAACCCTCACTTTTATTCCCAATTAATGGGTAATTAAAAATACTTTCAAGGAACATAATTATAGCTTATATATAAAAATTCCAGCTTTATTAAATAATCTAAGATTGCTGTAATTGTGTTTTAAAACACTTATTTCAATAATTTAAATCACCCATAAACAATTTTCATTAATATACGTAAACTTAGAAACCTAGGGTTTATAATTTGGGGCTTTTTAATTCAAAACCAAATCTAAAAATTTATATACATTATACTTAAAATCAAACATCATAAAAATCATCACAAACCGAAAAACAATTATTAGATTAAGTGTTGATTTAATTAAAATTCAAAAAGAACGAATTTTTTTTTTATTATTTTTAAGGTGTGCGCACAAAACCATCGCGGCAAGGCTGCTGCCGCGCCTACCGGTCGGTGCTACTAATGCCGGCGCTCGCTGGTGGTGGCAGCTGGCCGGTGGTGGCTGTGGTGTAGCCGGCCGGTGGTGGTGTATGTTTGGGTGGTGATTGAAACAAAAATGAAAATAAAGGGGAATGGGAAAAATTAAGGGGAAAAGAAAATAAGAGGAGAGGGAGTTTAACTTTCGGTATTCTCCACCTTGGGTAAAATTTGATTTTGCTCATATGATGGGTATTTATACCTTTTCTCAATAAACCTCCGATTTAATATTCCTTTACTACTCTTAATGATCCCTTTCCTATTCAAACTAGTCTTTTGACTTTCCTTAAGTACCATTGACTTTAAACATTTCCTTTTATAAAATTATATGCTCCAAAGTTTCCAAATCATGAAATAAAATATTTTCAAGATTGTTAAATAATTAAAAAAAAATTTAATTAAAATATTTTTTTGTTAATTAATGAAACACTATAAATAATTCATTTCGAATTATTTAAATACTCTAAGAAATACTTATTTAAGTTAAAATACGTATTACAGTCTACCCCCCTTAAAAGAAGTTTCATTACGAAAGTTGGGTAACGAAATTCAAACTTTTTCCTCACTTTGTATAATGTTGATGTACTCTTTTGTCGTACTTTTGCCTTTAATGTCTCTTTGGAATGAAAATTACTCGAAATAACCGTTAAAAATGTGCAAAAAGCACAAAAATAACTGAAAACATAGGGAAAAAGCGCGAAATTCTACCGCATTCTACCCTCCTTAAAGAAAACAAGTTACGTCCCCGAAACTCACCATACCTTAAAAAACTCGGGATATTTCTTTTTCATCTCATCCTTAGCTTCCCAAGTTGTTTCTTCATACTCTTAGTTAGACCATATCACTTTAACAATCTTAACATCCTTATTGCGTGTACTACGCACTTTACTGTCAAAGATCTTGACAGGTCTTTCCTCATAAGTTAAGCTTTGATCTAACTCAATGGTTTCAGGTTGTAGCACATGTGACTTATTAGAGATATACCTTCTTAACTGAGATACATGAAATACATCGTGCACTTTACTTAGCTCCATAAGTAACGCCAACCTATAAGCTACTTTGCCTATCCTTTGCAATACTTCATATGGACTAATATACTTTGGGCTAAGCTTTCCTTTCTTTCCAAAATTCATTACACCTTTCATTGGTGACACCTTTAACAATACTTTATCACCAACCTCAAATTCCTCCTCTCTACGCTTTAAATCCGCGTAGCTCTTTTGGCGATCTTGCGCCACTAAAATCTCAGTTACCTGCTTAACTGTATCCTTGATCATTTGAGGCCCTAAAATCATTGTTTCACTTATGTCGTTCCAACAGATCGGACTGCGACACTTCCTTCCTTATAATGCCTCAAATGAAGCCATGCCAATGCTTGCATAATAGCTATTATTATAGGAAAGTTCAATTAAGTCCAAGCTATCTTCCCATCCCCCTTGGAAATCTATAACACAAACCCTTAACATATCTTCCAAGGTTTGAATGGTACTCTCAGTTTTCCCACCTGTGGCAGGGTGATATGTTGTACTCATCTTAACTGTTGTAAAAAAGTTTTCCTGCACACTCTTCTAGAACCTTGAAAGAAACCTAGAATCTCTGTCAGACACCTATAATCTCAACACATTTTTGATGTAAGCTTTTGCAATTTGCTCCATCTTCTAAGTCTCCTTCATTGGTATAAACACTGTAGATTTTGTAAGTCTATCCACCACTACCCAAATAGTGTAATTTCCATTCTTTGACTTTGGGAGGCAAGTCACAAAGTCCATTGAAATACAATCCCATTTCCATCTAGGAATTTCCAATGATTGCACAATTCTTTGCGGTCTTTTGTGTTCTATCTTCACTTTTTGGTGATCCCTTTCCTATTCAAACTAGTATTTTGACTTTCCTTAAATACCATTGACTTTAAAATTTCTCTAAAAGGGAGGGAAAATTGCAGTAATTTCCCTACCCCAATCCTTGCAGACTAGGGAGGATAAAATTTCTCAGGATATCCCCGTTTTCACCCAATGGAAAAGCGCTAAGGCCGGCCTTCATTATCTTCATGGATCGCATACCTTTCGTCCTATTGCTTATTGATCCTTCAGTTAATACAATTTCTCTTTCTATGGCTGTAATTTCTTCTCCACTTGGATCGCACTTCCATAGCTAGATGGTGTTTTGGACATTTGCTTAGGTACTCTATTGAACCATGGAGAACATTGTTAATGTAAAATACCTCTGTCCTATGGATTTCACCATTAGGATCAATGTACAACATTTAGATGCATGGGTTCTAAAAGGTCTTCCATTACTATGAAAAATTAGATATTCAAGTGTTTGGGAGTAGGTGGAGAATTCTGGCAATTAAATTTCTTGTGAGAGAAAGGAAGAGAGATAGAGTTAAACTTGTGTTAATGAAGAAGGAAATTGAATAAAGTGGCTACAAGTATTTATAATCACTTTTGCGTCACTCTTGACGGTTGAGATACTTTGTAACTTCAATACATCGTGGTAAAACCACGTATCCTTCCACATTTTTGACGTCGTTTTATTAAAACTTCCCAAATTCTAACTTTTGGGGATGTATTTCAATAAACTGTCACAGAACTTCCTTGGTAACTTCTACTTCCAAGTTAATAATAATTATTGATCATTTAATTTTATTGGTAATTAGAAGTGTCTTTTCAATTAAATGACAATAAATATTGTTGTCTTATACTTGCTAAGTTATGAAAGTGATTATGATTAATACCCATATATTTTAATTTTGAAAAATTAATAATATATTTGTGTAGGCATCAACATACAGGAAAAATCAAACTGTATCGCCTGATCATTGACCAAAATATAAATATATTTTCATTAAGTATATACTTAAAGGCAATTCCAAGTTTGAACAAAATAAATTTGACATAACATAGTTAAGACATGATAAAAAACATGCTTAGATACTTATTTTTAGTAGAAACTAAGAACATGTAACACGTCATGTTTGAGTCCTTTACTCTTTCATCGAAAGTTAGCTCATTGTGACAAAAGAAATCAAACCAAGCAAACCCTAGCCTTGATCAATCCAAGTATAATGGAGGCTTTTGGGGCTTGTAGGCGCTAGTTCATACATATTAGAAGATAATCCAAAGCAATCTCCTAGCTATGTTATCATCATCCTTCCCAAATTTCTAGGTGGTGATTTCCTTACTTTCTTTTGTTGCCTTTTCTTCATGTGCTCACCTTCGTCTCTCTGGCGCCTATGGCTCCACTACTTCTTCCTAATGGTTCATCCCTTAGAACCAATTCAGTATAAAAGCTAAGGCATACATTGCCTACCCTCACTTGGCTCTGGTACTCTACTTCTTTTGCCTTTTCTGCCTCCTTCTCCATCTTGTTCCATTTCTCTACTAGCAATCCTTCAAGCTCTTAACTGCCTTCATCTTCTGAGAACTGCTTATCTATCTTAGGGAACTCAATACGTAGTTTGTTAAGATCTAAATCAAACCCTATTTCCCCTTTTGGATAAGACTTGGAAGTACTAGAAGTTAGACTTTCCATAACTAAAGTGAGAAAGAGGTTTGGAAAATCTGTTGAAGCTAGCTTCTCTAAAAATTACTTAAGAGAGAAGATACACTTTGTATGTTTTAAGTGAAGAGTGAT